CCAAAATTAAAATTGGAATTAATTCGATATTTATTCCGTTAGAATCAATCACAAGGCCGGACGTGTGCAAGAGTCAGGTCTTTTTCAAGTTTATTTTGGATTTGATTTGCAATCCCTGTGTGCAAGAAAGAATTCCAATGCTATACAATGCAATTATCCTCTAAAAGGGTCTTGTATATATAGTGGTGCAAATCTCATCATTTTTCCAATGTTAGACAAAGGCCCTGTTTGGTAAAAAAATTGTTCTATAAGCCAATTTTGGTTTATTTGACCATTATTACTTGTTTGATTTAGTTAAAATGTCAATACAAGTGTTTGGTTAATTAGCTTTTTGCAACTCCAAAATGCTAAAATTCAAAAAACTACTCCAAGAAACTTTTTCAATTAGCTTTTTCAGAAAAGAAATTATATCAAACAGTTATCAGTTAACAGCTAATTTACCAAACACTTTTCTACAATTAGCTAATGGTATCAACTAGTTATACCTTCTAATTAACACAATCAACTAACAGCTAACAGCCATTTACCAAACAGGGCCAAAGGTTACTTACAAGCTAAGCCTTTTCACCTTTTTTTTTTCAACTCAAATGAGTCTACTTTGACAATCGATCAATTTCTCTTTCACCCATTATCCGTTTTAAGCGTACAATATATCGAATCTATTGATTTGATCCGATTGAAATCGGAAATCTTACAATGCGATTTTAAGCTATATTTTCCAACCGTATCAATGAGTAAGTTTGTGGCAATGAAAATGAGATTAAAGATAATGAGGAAGTCAAGGGCAAAAGCTTGGTCAGTGCATGTTAACTGATTGAACGGTGATGCCACTATAGCCAATAAGGGTTGGAAAACACAAACACCCTTAAGAGCAAAGGAAAGACATTTGGACACTGAAACATGAGCTGCAATATAAGCTGACACTTGTGCCCATGGAAAGTGATGGAGTGTGACAAATGCGATGGTAAGCAAAGGATTAAGATGAGCTCCGATCCGGTCGATAAGATGATGATCATAGCCGCTAATCCTGCAAAGACGGTGTTCCAAATCAAGGATCACGCGTCATTGTACTTTGGTGGACAATGGGTCCATCTGTTATAGCAATTAGCAAATATCTACTATACTAATAATCTACTATCTACTATCTACTATACTAATAAGAGCTCAAGAGAGTTAGGCCTATAATGGGTAGAAAAAATGGCGGTCACAGATTTTAATAAAATGAATGGCTCAGATTGATTAAAAGATTGATAAGATTTAAATTTTACACTAAAATTTCCTAAAATACCCACACACCGTTACTAATTCCGTTAAAATTTTAAGAATTGCCGTTAGTTCACCGTTAACTTACTCATTGATTTCAATAAAAAAAAAAAGGTCTTAGGTTCGAACCTCATCCCAATCAAAGTTGGCATAATTAGTACTCTATTTTACTCTTATTAAATTATATAAATAATAATTTAGTAGCTACATCTACTATACTAATAAGAGCTCAAGAGAGTTAGGCCTATAATGGGTAGAAAAAATGGCGGTCACAGATTTTAATAAAATGAATGGCTCAGATTGATTAAAAGATTGATAAGATTTAAATTTTACACTAAAATTTCCTAAAATACCCACACACCGTTACTAATTCCGTTAAAATTTTAAGAATTGCCGTTAGTTCACCGTTAACTTACTCATTGATTTCAATAAAAAAAAAAAGGTCTTAGGTTCGAACCTCATCCCAATCAAAGTTGGCATAATTAGTACTCTATTTTACTCTTATTAAATTATATAAATAATAATTTAGTAGCTACAACAAAAAATTATAGATATGCATTTCTTTAATTTAGAATTATGTGTCCACAATGCCTTTATTCAAAAAAAAATTATTCATTATCAATAAATTAAATAAGAGAAATAATTGTATTAGTTATATTGTCTTTATTTTTCTACAATATAAAAATTCTTTATATTCAAATTTATTAATTGATTATATTCGCTACATTGTCCTTACAATGTCTTAATTCAGTGAAAAAAAATTATTCATTATCAATAAATTAATTAAGAGAAATATTTTCATTAGTTATATTGTCTTTATTTTTCTCAAATGTAAAAATATTTACATTCAAATTCATCAATTGATTATATTCACTACATTGTCTATTATCTTTTTTTGCACTATTTTTCTAATTAAATATCAAAGTTATAATACAAAATAATGCTATATATTTATTTACCAAGTATTTTATTAATACCATGAAAAAATTAAAAAAAAATATAATTAATAAAGCCAACCATATTAACTACTTGAGAGATTTTGTGACAAAGAGAGTATTCAAATCACACAACAAATTGAAGTGAGAACTACCTTGCAATGTCCTTGTTTGATAATCAGTAGTTAGCGCGCGGATTATATTAGCGGATTTGACCAACGAATTTATTTAATTATTAACATTGGGTAGAAAAAATGACCGCCAAATTATTAAATCAAATGAATGGTTCAAATTGTTCAGGTTTTATTTTTTTTTAAACTTTTTCTAATTTATCCTTAATTATATGATTACCCATTTAACTTTTTCGTTAAATACCGTTAATTCACCGTTAGTCTAATTATAATATTAACGTCTAATATAGAATTATAATTACACCATTAATCTAATTCTAATATTAAAGTCTTAATAGAACTTAACCACAAATCCTAATGTCGAAATCTCCTCAAACAATAGTAGTATATATTTAAAATTTTATGCCCTAATTTTTATTTGTTCTCCCTTATGTCCCGTATTTGGTTTCAACCATACCTATACAATTAATTTATTGACAATTATAATCAATCTTGACTATATTATCTTGCATTTGTAAACTTAGAATTACCTATTTAACTCGCACGGGTTTAGCTCAATGGTTTAGTGGGCAGAATTTGGGAGAAGAGACCAAGGTTTGAACCTCGGCGGCGGTAGTGCGGGAATTATGTCCAAAGTGGGCAGATTCCTTGTTCGCACCGGCATTTGGTCCTGTCTGCTGAACCATTGAGTCACCGTGATTTACAACTTCCTACATGCTCTGTCGGGTCAGAGTGTGGGGGGCCCTTGGGGTAGGGGACTCAACCTTTGGGAGAAGAATTACCTATTTAAATACGCAAATTCAACCTTCAATTATCTATGCATGAACAATTTCAATATAATCTTGCCTTAATATACTTTAAAGTACTTATTTAAAAAAAAAAAAAAAAACATTGGGCATTATCCCAATCGCGCAATGCGCGTAAAAAACTAGTATCAATATAAACGTTACAAACTCTACAGTCTACCCCATGCCAATCTACACAATCAATTGGATGGTAACAATCATGGTTTCTTGGAAATATAACATTTTAAAAATATATAAATTTATTAACTACTACAGAGTAGTAAATATTATTTAAACTAGGCTTTACTTATATCAGCTATGTTTGACAAATCTAGCTAAAAAGATAGCTGAAAGTTAAAAAGGAGCTGAAAAGCTTAAAAGCTATACGTTAGGAGTTGAAAATTTAAGAGCTGTTAAACTAACTGTTATGTTTGAAAGTGTTTGGTAAAATTAGCTTTTTGATAAGCTGATAAATGTAAAAAGACAAAAAAAAATTAAAATTAGTTTGTTTACATATTAAAATTTAACATTTTATCTTTAAAAAAAAAAGTAACATTTTAAAATAAAATTATTAGTAAAATCATGATCTAGCATCCCATAAAGAAGTAGCAATATTGTTATGAATCTCCTTCATCTCACAATAATAATAATAATAATAATAATAATAATAATAATAATAATAACAACAACAACAACAACAACAACAACAACAACAACAACAACAACAATAATAATAATAATAATAATAATAATAATAATAATAATAATCTCCTTAATGTGCGTTGTTGTTGAAACTTTAAAGTGCATGAGTTTTGTGCAGGCCCGGATTTTGAGCTGCGCAAGCTGGTCTACCGCACAGGGCCCCAAATTTTAGAGGGGCCCCAAATTTTAGAAGCTCAATATTTTATTTTTACTTAGTTAGTTTCGAAATAAAAATTAAAAGTTTTTATTTAAACTTAAAAGGCTTTATAAAGAAATGGTAAGAACATGTATTTATTATATTTTAACTTTGAGGTCTAAGGTTCAAAATTGTGCACACTATTATTATTATTCCATAATATATTTATTTTTACCTGTGCGTTGCACAGAAAAGATTTGTTATAATCTTTAAATTATAACAACGAATATTATATAGTGCAATTGATGAAATGGGTTGTATTGATTATGTTTTTTTATGTTATTCTTGCTTTAATTCGAGCAAATAATTGCCCAATTATTCGTGCAGTGCGCGTGCAATGCACGGATAATTTTTTTGGTTATATATTTAGATAATAAAATTACGTACGGTATTAGTTTTAAGGATTTTAATTTTGGTAGGGCCTTATTTATTTATCCGAACAGGGCCACAAAAATCTAAAAACCGGCCCTGATTTTGTGCTTAATGTGCGTGAGTTTTGTGCTTAAGGTGCATGAGTCTTGTGCTTAAGGTGCGTGAATTTTGTACTTAATATGCGTGAGTGTGTACTTAATGTGAGTTGTTTGTAAAACTTAAGGTGCATGTGTTAAATACTTAATGTGCGTGAGTTTTGTGTTTAAGGTGCGTGAGGGTTGTGCTTAAGATGTGTGAGTTTTGTACTTAAGATGCGTGAGTTTGTGTTCTGAATGTATTTTTTTTCCTGCATGTGTTGAATGTGTGTATGTTGTGTACTTTGCGCCAGTGTAATGCTTAATATGTGTCCATCCGCACAATCGCAAGCACCACCCGCACCTGATCCCTTCCACACACACACACACACACATATATATATATATATATATATATATATTATATATATATAACAAATATATACTAGCTACCTTGTAAAGGGTGATGAGTATTTAAAAAAAAAAAAAATTATTTGATTGATTGTAAAAAAAGTTAAAAATATAATTATACACACAAACACTAGTATATATATTAGTAATATGATACAAAATTACAAATGTTTCTTTAAAGATTACAACACGTACTGTATTTCACAAGGGAAGCATGCATGGTCAGAGCATATGACACACGTACTCCAGCCCCACTTCATTATTGGAACACACAACAAGAAATCAAAACGTAATGTTCGAACACCCAACAATTTGTGTACAACATTGTTGTACTTATCAACAAAATAACACAAACACCACACTTGTACGTACGGGATGAAACTTGGACTCACATGTTTCAAGTTTGCTTTATTCATATGCACATAGACAACCATTTGCAAGGGCTCAGCTCCTATCTAGCGTCGGAAGCTCCTGGGTCGACTTGTTGGCTCAACTTCTTCTCGCAGCTTTACCACTGTATAAATAGCTGCTCCTGCAATGGCACCAAGAGTGGGTGCAACTAAATATATCCAAATTGACTTATAATTTCCTGCTGCAACTGCTGGCCCTAGAGTGCGTACTGGATTCATGGAACCACCGCTTGATGGCCTGGATGGATGGGAAACACAAATATCTCATTTATTACACTCATACTAACTATCATACTTTTAACAATTAAATTATCCACATCAACTATGCTAAAGATTTTGATTCACTGGATTTCAATTTAAATGTTTCATTTTTTTTTTTCTAACTAAAAGCACACCATTCAATTATATTTAGTTTATTACCATTTTTACTAAAAATTGATAAAAAAAAAAATCATTTTACCGTTAGAATTGATTAATGTATAACACTTTAATGAAAACCTTATATTGCACGCCCATTCCACGAGCTTTGTAGAAGAGTGTACGAGCTTTTGAGAAGTATTATTGTATGTGTTAAACACATGTTACACTTTTATTTAATACGAGTTTCTTTTCCAATATAGTTTGTTATTTTGCACTCATTTAATATAAATTATACTCATGAAGTGTTTTAAGTTTTTTTTTTTTTTTTTTTTTTTTTTTTTTTTTTTTTGGTCACAAGTATTTTTAACATAATTTTTTAATTACCTATAACTTTTCAATTTAAAAAAGAGGCATCTTAGTACAAGTCTACAAGACAACTTACATACTATAAACAATATGGATTCACCTGTTATTATTTGAGTATATATTGAAAACTAAGTTAATAAGAAATTTATATTTACCCAGCCACAAGAATGTTTAGCATAACTGTAGCTCCAACTGCTATGCCGGCCAATTCTCCCACCTAAATGAAATGATAATAAGAATGATTGTTTAGTGAGCAATTAGGAGGAAGATTAAACAATTACAAGGCGTTTGGTTTAAATGAAGGAATTAGGGGGAAATGAATTGTAATTTAGTTGGAAAGGTATGAATAAAGTATGAATTCAAATTACATGGGAGGAATAGAAGGGAGGAAATTGTATAAAGACTAAAATGTCGGTGTGTAATAATAATACTAAGAGTTAATCATCATTTTGGTCCCTCAATAATTTTCCAACTGTCAATGTAATTCATAGTTTTCAATTTCAACCAATTTGATCTCGAATTATTTTAAAATTTTGTCAATTATATTAAACTCTTCCATGGAACAAAATGGTGGTTTCCACATTTTTAAAATTTTGTTAATTTGGTCACTGGAAGGGTTTAATTGACGAAATTTTAAGTATTTTTCTCCCTTTTTTCCTTTGTTTTCCACCATTAAATTGCAATTCATATGAGGTGAGTATGAGTTGCAATTTAGGTGGCCAAAGAATTATATAGTAATTGAATTACAACTACATCTAACCAAACAGCTCAGTAATGATTAGTGTGTACTTACTGCGCGTGTATCAGTAGCAACAGCTGTGACAACGAAGAGGAGATTAAAGGTAATGAGGAACTCAAGCGCAAAAGCTTGTCCAGTGCTAACTGATGGAACGGTGACACCGCCAGACAAGAAGGGGTGGAAAACACCTTTAAGAGCAAAGGAAGCACATATGGATGCGGAAACCTGAGCTGCAATATAAGCGGGTACTTGTGCCCAGGGAAAGTGACGGAGTGCGGCAAATGCGATGGTGAGCGAAGGATTAAGATGAGCTCCAGAGATGTGGCCAGTCGATAAAATGATGATCATAACCGCTAGCCCTGCACAAGCCGCATTCCCAATCAACGACTCCGCACCATTGTACTTTTGGTTCACAATGGGTCCAGCTGTTGCAGCAAAAATCAATATAAACGTCCCTACGAATTCTGCGCCAACCTACACAACCAATTGGACGATAATTAACAATAATCATGGTTTCATGGGCATATAAAATTCTAACTCATAAAACATGGAGGTGTTTGGTAAATAAAGGTTAGCTGATTAGGTTAGTGAGTCTGACTAGTTCATAGCATTAACTGATTGTAAAAAAAACATTTGGTAAATTAAAGTTGATGTTAGCTGATAACCAATTACATACAAAATGACTTTTTTTAAAAACTTATCGAAAAGACTACTTTAAGTTACTTTTTGAATTTCAGCATTTTGAGACAATAAGCTGTTACAAAAAATAATAATAATTAATCAGACACTCATATTGATTGTTTAACCAAGTCAAATAACTAATAATTTTTCCAAAAAATAACTAATAATTGTCAAATAAATCAAAATTAACTGAAAAACTAACTATGTTACCAACTGGACATATAGTATTGAACACATGCATTACATAATCATTTTCATGCATTATATGATAAAGTGCTAGTAGGAATAATATTTTATATAATGAAAGAATCTTTCTTTTATTTATATATATATATATATATATATATATATATATATATATATATATAAGTCGGAGACGACCAACCTATAGTTCCATATCTTGTACAAACAAATATTGAAATAAAGAGCTATTATTGAATGAATGGCCGGTAATATTATTTATATCTAAAATCTAAAAACTAATAAGTGTGAATGAAGGATATACCCTTTTATTTATATATATTTTTTCGTTACGTTTTTTATACATTATGCTATAAGAGTTGTATTATACAATATTTAGGACAAAACATACCCCTATTATTATAACTTTCATTATTTTTTCCACTATTGTTATCATGTATATACATCCACCATATATTTCCTTTATCTTCTTCAATAATAATAACAATAATAATAATAATAATAATATATAGACATTATATATTAAAGTTATATGTTAGTTATGGAGTATTTCTTAAAATATAAATATCAAGTTTATAAAAATATTTTACATTATTATTATTGAAAATAATATAAATATCTAAAATCTAAATAAATCTAAGAAATAAATCTAAAATTTTAATATAAAATACTAATATTGAACACCTATTTTTGCGCATCGCGTATAAAAAATATTAATATTATTAATTTTATAATAAAAATATTAATATTATATTAATATAAAAAATGAGCACTTCGTAGTAGTAGATGGGTCTATTTGACACCTGTGCAGGCCCGGATTTTGGGCTGTGCAAGCTGGGCTACCGCACAGGGCCCCAAATTTTAGAGGGGTCTAAATTTTATAAGCTCAATATTTTATTTTTACCTAGTTACTTTAGAAATAAAAATTAAAATTTTTTAATTAAACTTAAAAGGCTTTATAAAGAAATGGTAGGAACATGTATTTATTGTATTTTAACTTTGAGATCTAAGGTTCAAAACTTGTGCACACTATTATTATTATTCCATAATATGTCTATTTTTACCTGTGCGTTGCACGGAAAAGATTTGTTATAATCTTTAAATTATAACAATGAATATTATATAGTGCAATTGATAAAATGAGTTGTATCGATTATGTTTTTTTATGTTATCATTGCTTGAATTCGAGCAAATAATTGTCCAATTATCCGTGCAGTGTGCGTGCGATGCACAGATACATTTTTTTTTGTTATATATTTAGATAATAAAATTACGGTATTAGTTTTATAGATTTTAATTTTAGTAGGGCTTTATTTATTTATTTACCCGAACAGGGCCATAAAAATCTAAAAACCGGCCTTGCACCTGTGCCTTATTTTTATTATTCCGTGCTATAATTTTTTCAATAATTATAATAATATATCTAAGATAAATTATTATTTAAGAACAAGTCATCCCTAGTTGGCAAACTAGCTAGTTGCATTATCCATCTAATCATCATGTCATCATGTGACCCACCCCCTATAGAAAATAATAGGTTAGGCAGGATGCAAATGTCAATTACATATTTGTTCTGGTCCCTAATTTAGCCTCATTTCAATTTGGAAAAAAAAAATAATGAGATTCTCTTTGTCTCTGCATGATCCCACTTCTCTTTTTCATAAAATTCGTGAAAATAAAAATTTCTCTAAAACGAAAGGCCTAATCACTAGTGGCACTTGATTTGAAACTTATGGATCTCAGAATTCAAAATTGAAAATATTTCCATCAAATTATTTTATCACATGATAAATAATATATGACAAAAATTTGTGTCAGAAAATCAAGATGAAAATATAATACTTATATTATATTAAAAAATGTAATAATAATAAGAAAAAAGTGTTTATTACTTATATGAAAAAGTGTAATACTTTTGAAAAAAAATTATTTCTTTTACATTTTGATTTAAAAATACTTCACTTTTCCTCATAAGTATTACATTTTTTCTTATAAGTAATATAAACACTTGCCAATATTACTTATAAAAAAAGAAATATAATACTTTTGATTAAAAAAAATGTAATACTTTAACATTGAAATGTAAAAATATTATATTTTTTTACAAAAGTAATTACAATTTTTTCTTATGAGTAAGAAACTTTTTATTCTTGATCAGTATTATATTTTTCAAATATTGCATTTACATATTGACCTGATGTTATTTGTCTTACAAATAATAATTTGTGCGACAATTTTATACAAGTGTGACCATAATATATATATGTGTGTGTGTGCGCGCGCGCGTGGGGGGTAATTTTAGGATTATATAAAATATTTATAGATTGATTGATACTTTGAAATATACAAGTACCGACTAGTATTCTGATAAGCGAGCGTTCAGTGATGAAAATATAGAGAGGGAGAGCGTGAAAGTGCACCTTTCGGGTGAGCGAAATGTCCGGCGCGGGAAAATCGGTGAGACACGTGTGAGGTGCTCCCCACGTGGGAGCGTCCAAAGGGAAGCACTTGCATCGGGGCATTGACTTGCGATCGTACGACAGGGAGTCCACGTGGAGGGACGTGAAAAGCGGAGCGGGCGTGCCGGGAGTCGCCGGCGCCGACGCCGTCGGAGTTTCAGTTTCAGGTTCCGGCATTTCCCTCTTCCTTCAATCAAGGTCAGTAAAAGCAGTACAAACAAACTATTTTTTTTAAAAAATTTTTTGGAAAAACGAAACTGCAAATAAACTGAACTGGACAGTATTACATGATTTTCCGGTTTTTCTAAAGGTGTCTCTACAGGATCGTCTCCGTTACAGCCAGACCGCTAACACCAAAGATAACGAACTAGAATTCTAAACCGGACATAGAAAATGAAAGATAGAGAAAATAAATCTTTTTTTTTGGTTTTTTTTTTTTTTTGGAAGAAAAAGCTAGAAAGCTGAGATAGATCGACGTTACATGCTGTTCTGGTTTTTATAACTGTGCCGCTAAGGAAGAAGAAGTTTGAAGAGATCCAGCCTAATCCAACCTAACAATACACTAATTATGACAACAAAATTGGTTTTGTCGCCGGAGTTTCATGCAAGCTAAGCTCGATCGATCAGAACTACGAAAACAGATTTAAGAACTTGGCGTGATGTTATGGTTGAGGGAGGAATTGAAGAGAGAACGGGAGAGATGGATAAATTTTTGATTAAGAAAGAGAGTGGTGATTGAGTAGAACGTAGGGTGGAGAGAAGCGGGATGAGAAATAATAATGCGGCAAAAGTATATAGTTGCTATATAGAAGGCTAGTCCACCAGTCGTACATCGTTGGAAAGTACTGAGAAACCCCTTATAAAATATATTTTCCTCTTCCTCATTGATTGAAAACAAAGTAAAATAGAAAAAGAAATAAAAAGTCGACTTTAACTATTAATGCTAAATTTTTTTTTTTTTTAATAGTATAATCGACTCTATTACAATTCCTATGACCTTCCCTTGTCGAGAGTCACAAAGGTGCCAAGCACAATATGATTGACTCTAGTCTTCTTTTTTTTCTTTGGCAAAAATTTGTGTGAGATCGACTTCGAATTCTTGTCCATGAGACGGGTCGAATCAAGATTAAAATGTAATACTTATACTGAAAAATGTAATATTAATTAAGAATAAAATGTTTACTATTTATATGGAAAAATATAATTTTTTTGAAAACAAAAATGTAATACTTTTAATTTTGATTTAGAAGTATGGAGTACTACATTTTTATTCATAAGTATTATATTTTCCTTATAAGTAACAAATACTTGTCAACATTACTTATAAGAGAAAATATAAAACTTTTGGTCCGACAAAACATGTGAGGGGATGTAAATCACGATAACTCAGCAGCTCAACAGACAAAGCCAAATGTAGATGCACACAATGGATCTATCCACTTTGGACATAATCTTCACACTAATAGAATGTACAATTAATCATAGCAAAGGATTAAATAAACATTGTTTAGTTCATATTAGACATAACATTATGGACTTGTATTTTACTTTAGATTAGATGACGAGGGAAATCTACCGCTATTATTCGTGGTATGCACTAAATAAATTTGTGTGTATGCACTAGATAAATCTCGTCTTGTAATCTGTAATCCTAATATGCAAATGATCATAATGAGATAAACTAACATAATTTGTCCATAATTAATTAATTCAAACTAATAAGATCAATAAATCATTTATAATACAAGTAGAACTTGAAATGTTGTGGAAAATGAATAATGGTGGATTGGTGGGGCAGAGACGTAGAGTGGGCGACGGTGCAGTCGTTATATCGTAGACCGCGGTGCATGTGCACCGCGGTAAAAAACGGCGCTGTTTCTTTAAGTAAAGAAACGGTCCATCGTTACCGTTAACGGAGTCCGCATGTTTGATGTATTAAACACCAACTGACACTACAGTACATGCATCTAAACCGACACTGCCTCATGTATTATTTTTATATTATCAAATGAAACTGCAGTTATATCAAAATGATACTGTGGTTGTGGTGAAATGAAACTGCAGTGTATATAAAATGAAATTGAATAACATTTCACATATTTGAGTGTATATTGTACAATGAAGCTATAATTATATCAAAATGATCATATAGTTGTGTTTTAATAAAATTATAGTGTATATAAAATAAAATTAAATAACATTTTTACATATTTGAGTCTATAAATATTGAATGAAACTATAGTTATATCGAAATGAAACTGTAGTTGTGTTGAACTGAAACTGCACTGTATACAAAATAATGAAACTAAATAATAGGATTATTTTGCGAAAGGGTACAGAACGACGAAAAATAAATGCCGTTTTTTTTTTTTAATTTAACAAAACGATGTCATTTGGATGCGTGGTGCATAATCGATTATGCACCGCGATGCACGATATAATTTGCCGTGACGGTGTTAGGATAATAAGAAAGGGAATGGCAAATAAGGAAGGCTGAAAAAATAAAGTCAACGGTAAGCTTTGGTCACCTGCACGTTGCTCCAATGACAGCCTTTTGTTGCTCTCGTATCACAGCGACATAGCGGTTGCAATGGCACAGCCCACAATAATGTTTAAAAACCAAAAATAAAAATAAAAAAAATAAAATTAAGTAATGAAAAAACGCAATAATGCGAATAAGAAAATTAAGAACGTTTATCCCTATGTTGTCTCGATTCATTTGGCAACAAACAAGAAATTGGAGGATATTTATTCCATAATACGTACTGCGTCGCGTTAAAATAAAAAATAAAAATAAATAAAATGCAACGATCAACGTAACCGCCTGTGACGCCCTCATTTCTCTATTTTTTTTTTTATAGATGTGATCCGAAGATTTAAAATTACTCAATACTCAAAGTTAAATATCAAAATTTTGATCTTTAATTAATAAAGATTGATAAGTTCCTCCCACTCAATCACATCTCCGGGTTATCTTCATTTTTCTATATTTTAATAATTCCACACTCTCTCCTATACGATAACATTAAAATGCCCCCTTTCCTGCTAACGAGGACGCTAACATAGCAATTTAAAACATCATTATATTGGTCTAAAGATATGAAGGAGGATGTCTTAATTTAATATTTGACCTTTTGTTTTCTTTATTTTAAGTTACATGTTTAGGAAAGAATAAAGTTATTTATGGAGTATTTCGTTCTTTTATTTTAGGTTACATGTTTAGGAATGATGAATGTCATTCATTGCCTTGTAAATAGTCTTTTTAAAAAGGAGGCTAAAACATCATCTTAGAAGCATAATTTTTAGATTAGATTCAATGGAAAAATGTTAAGGCGGCATTTTGTATATATATATATATATTTTTTTTGTCTCTCTTGTGTGTTGAGAGATGTTCTTCCTAGCCTCTTCTCAAGATAGTTTCCAATCTTGTGGTGTCATCCATTTTTCATCACCTTAGACCAAGGTGTGACGGAAAATATCTTTATAACAAAACACAAAACATCATCCTCTAACTAGCCCCTACATTAACCAATTCCATCTCCGGCCAACACTCTCAAACCATAGTTCGTGTGCTTATTATTTCTGTGAGGAAAAGATCGGGCAATCGGAGGACTCTCTAGAAAATCGTTACTTGAATTCGCCTTGAAGAATCCACATCACATGCTAGAGTCACACATGTGTTAGACCGTCTCACAAATCTTAATCCGTGAGACGGGTTGAATCTAGCATAATTGTTTGTTAGTTATGATAGAAATCGTAATACTTATTACAGAAAATTTAATGCCAATTTGAAATAAATAAATTGTTACTTATAATAGATATTTTGTAATATTTATATGTGAATTTGTGGTACTATTTATAGTGGCGGACCCAGGGTGATACAACACAAGATCCAAACCATCATGTTAGTCCCGATAGGGTGGTAAAAAGTCTAGAGGGGGGGGGGGGGTGAATAGACTTTTTAAACTTTTTCACAATAAATAACACTTTGGTAATTTCAACTTCAAGTAACAAATAAATAGTCAAGTATTTAATTTGGAGTGCACAACGGAATAAATATATATAAAGTGTTATGCCCAAATAGTAAATTAGATCACATGCACAACGTTAGATATGCTCAGATGATGTGTAAGGATAACAAAAATATCTTGAATATTTAAGGGAGATGGTTCACTCAATATTTAACAAGATTATTCAAGATTGTGTATAAGACTTCGTGTGAAATCAACCGTGTGAGAAATGTCACATGCAACACGTCAAAACACACTAAACCCGAATGATTAAGATCAACAGTGAATAGTAAACGGGTTAGTCAAATACTAAATAAATACATCAAGATATGTAAGTGTGATATGTAAATGAGAGAGAGAGAATTTATAGTGGTTCGGAAGTGGCGTAATCTTCCTAGTCCACTTTACTCCTTTCGCGTGTAGGAGTAATTCACTATTTTCCACACACAGTTACAATAGTGAATAAGTGCTACACAAGCACTTCTTCGGATGTCTTGCACATAGCTACACCCAACTCCGAGTGTCTCGCACACAGCTACACTCAACTCCGAGTACTTCACACACAACTATACTCAAACGCCAACTAAGTGTGTCGCACACAGCTACACTTAGCAACTACGAGTGTTTTGCACACAGCTACACTCACTACAGTATTTTGCACACAACTATACTCTTTTTACAATTACAATAGACGGTAATTGTTTTTCTCTCCAACTATTTTTGAGACTATTCAGACTAAGTCTCTTTTCTAGATATCTCAAAGAATATTTTAACTCAAGAGAATTTTGCTTGTATAGATCACTTGCTCGTCTCTTTTCTGCACTGCTTCCATCTTCAAGTCTTCATGGCCTTTTTATAGATGATCAAATATATCCATTGGGGTGGGATAATTTGACATTTGAAATTTGAATCTTGTAGTCTGATATTGTTGACACTAGGTTCTTCAATTTTGATTTGATTGCCAACTTGCCTGACAAGATAATATTTTTATCTCAACTTGATTTTCAAGGTATTTCTAAAATATTATCATCTTCATCATTTTTTGAATTTCCAACGTCTCTTGGCAATAAATTCTTCTGACATGATTTATTTTTAGGATAAGGTTTTTATTCATGCCTTCATAAATTTTCCACCGTTCTGATCATGTCTTCAGGCAATTTGGATTCTTGTGACATGTGAGATGAACCAAAATAAATTCATTCAAATTTATTCAGTGTTCTGATCATCTTTTCTTGTTTGTCACATTTTGCTTCTTTCAAATTTGACTTGATGCACTTCAGATATCTTTCTTGTATATACACTTCTTGCTCTTTTTTGAAAGACACATTGTGCTTGTTTTGCCTTTCTTGTTAAAATCAGATCTTGCTTACAGTCATATCTTGCTTGTTTGACCTGACATATTTCGCTTGTTTGACCTGACATATTTCGCTTGTTTGACCTGGTCACATTGTGCTTTTTTTTCACATCTTGCTTCTTTGACCTTTGCACATCTTGCTTCTTTGACTTGATACATCGTGCTTTTTGTTGACTTGATAAAAAGATAAGGGCTTTTTTTGACTTGATAAAAAGATAAGTCTTTAGAGGGATTCAATCTTGGGTATGATCATTTGTGTGCAAAAACTTCTACCATTTCGCCATGAGGCTCATTCAATCATTTATTATAACATCTTTGTTTAATGCTTGTCTTCTAGACGAATACTCGTAGGACCAAAATTAATTATCCAAATTAATTTTGTTCTTCATGTAGTAGTCTTTCCTTT